TTTCTCTTTGTTCCTATTTTCTAATTGTGTAGTGTCTTGGTTATGTTTAAGTTTACTATGTTCTCTTTACAATTCTCTACACAATTAGAAAATAGGAGCAAAGAGAAACTACTTACCGTACAGGTGAAGGTTTCTACTGAACTGCTGAACTGCCGACCAAGCTAAACACAATATGATTGATGAGAATCAAAAAGATAACCAAAACTGCAGGGAACCTGAAAAACCCACCTCGAAAACAAGAAAAGTTGCGCGCAGAACGGCCGTCCATCCAAAAAATTTCAATGCATCTGAAAAATTTCACATGTCAAAGGTAAAAAGCATAATAACTGACAAACATTAGAAACAGATTAGAAAAAGTGCCAGGAGGAGGAAGAAACAAGCGAGAAGCAAGCGGAGGAGAAAGAAGCAAAAAGTAACCGAAAATGGCTGTAAATTAGCATCCGTCCAGTTGATTTTTGCATTGGAGCGCGATCGAATCAGTCGCGCTACACAACCGGTCGCTACCACTAGCGACGCGATCGATCGCCCGAACGCGCGGCCGAAGCGCCGCCGTCGCGAAGTCTGAACGCTGCCCAAGCACGGTGCACTTTCAGACCAAACCGATCGGTGATAACCAAATTATGCTTTGACTCGCTTCAACGGGAATATGTGTTTGAAGGCATGTTGAAGTTGCGAATGAGTATCCTTACAATGGCGCAGGAGTAAGCTATTGAGTGGCTCAGAATGTCGCCCAAGGGTGACCCATCTAAAATAGCTTTCCAGCGAATCTTCAAGAAAACTGTTGAGCATATTGAAAGAGGAAAGGTTGCGCGTTCCGATGGCCTTTTCGCTTTTGTTAGAGGTTGCGCTTGGAAGAAGTTATTCTCGTCTGAAGCATAAAAACTCGCTCGCGATTTACCACTAACGCGTCCGTAACCCATCCGAAATATTTCACGAATTGGGGAAGATTCAGTTTGTGACTAGATAGAAAGTAACAGTAGAGACATTGCTTCAACATGCCGCCTTCCATTTCCTCAAAAGCTCCACATCTAAAAAGCTATCATCCCCAGAAAAAGCTCCGCGATTTCCACCCGGCCAACAGATCTGCTCCACCGCTAATTTGCCATGGAATCATAATGCGGCCGCAAGCGCTTGCGAGTCGTTACGTATCTGAATCCTTCTCGTCAGAGCAAACAACTATGATCTAAGGTCAACAAATTGTGGCCGGTTAGGAAATGCGGGGCACACATGTTCTGGGCAGAGCGATTCCAGGCCATTGGTGCGTCTTCCAATTTCCCGAAAAGTTGTGGAATGTCAAGGTTTTGCAGTCCTTCTCAGTTTTTAGATTTGTTTCGATAGATTATCCATATCAACGTACCTAGGCAGGGATAGGCGAGTGGTTGAGAGTGTGGGCTCATGTCTGCATTTTGAGGCACGAGTTATTCATGCCGAGGAAACTATGCCTTGCAAAAATTGCAAAAATGGGGACGATACCAGCGTCAGGCCCAGGTTGACAGGCCGGCTGATGGAGAAACCCGTCACAACAATCATGACAAGTCGCAAAAGTATCAGTGTTAATGCTAGGACGTCACCCGGAAGTGGCGCGCAGAACCCTCGCCCGAGTTCTGTGGTCAGTATGCGAGGGCTACCGAGGGGTGAACGACCTCGGCCAAAGAAGCTAGTTCGAATTGGGACCCTGAACGTGGGGTCGCTTACCGGGAAGTCTCGTGAGGTTGCCGACCTCATGAGACGCAGGAATATCCAAGTCCTATGCCTTCAGGAAACGCGATGGAAAGGACGAAAGGTCCACGAAATTGGAAAAGAGGTCTGTGGCCACAGCGGTTGCAGAATCCCTCAAGGAATACGTTTCCCCTGTAAACAGGATCAGTATCGGTTCATGGGGGTGAAAAAATGCACCAAGGAGGAGTACCGGACGAGAGTGGCGCACCGCAGTCCAGTTGCTCCGAGCTAGAGAAGGATGAAACCTACCTGACCCTAGACGAGGCCGTAAGATCGATTCCAGAGGATGACTACCTCACCATAGCTGGTGAGCTGATTGGACATGTGGGTAGTGATAGAAGGAATCTAGCTGACATAGTCTTCCAAACCTTCCCCACCCAGCCCCCCTCCCCCGGAAAAAAAAAGATTGTAACCTAGGTACCATCCTTGCTGTACTTTTTGGCATCGTGGCAAAGATGAATCATGAAGCCGTCAAAAAGTTGTAACAAAATTTAGGAACTTCGCTGGGATATTTTACGTAATGCACCATACTTTCTGGAGTAGGTTCCTTTGGATTACCGTCTGTTAAACTCCTGAGCAATACCTACCTGAACGGCGAAAGGTCTCTGTTATTGGTGGGCATTAATCTCGATTGTTCATCTAGCAATTTTTCATGGAAATCCAAAACGCCTTTAGCACTTCACTTGCCAGAAATCCCATATTCTGCTTCGGTATCGTACACTCGAT